TTATCATTCTCTAATAATTTATTTGAAGCTAATTTTGAGCATCATTGGGTGCAATTTATTGCATTTCTTGAACTATTCCCTAAGGCTTCTCATTATGTGCTTGAAATACTTTATTCTACATACCATAGCTGGGCCATATATTATATACAGACATGTTTCACAGCTGGTATCCAAAGTACACAGCGAATAGAGAGTATCAATGGAATCATCAAAAAGGAAGTTTCACATAGCACAATGTTACTACATTTGGTTGATATAATACAAAATCGTCTAAATAAGTAAGCGCATTATGCATGAATAAATGAACAAAAGAATATGAATCCTACTATTGAATTACCTCACGTTACAAATCATTATTTTTCAACCATCGATTTCTTATTTCAAGAGTACTTAACTTCACATATTCTTTCACTTCAAAGGCAGCAACTTTTAGAAAGCTTTCTCTATGATGTTGCCAAACTTTTTATTGAGTGGGACAATTTTTTTTCTGAACCTGAGAATATTATAGATAAGGGGGCATCTATAAATAACATTATGTACCCCACATAGTAGCTCTTGACCCCCTAGACTATATAAAAAAAATTTAAAAATCTGTATGTTTATATATAAATTTTTACAAAATCTTGATTACCTTGTAACCCAGTAATCCAAATTAGATAAATTTGGTATCATTAGATTCGTCTCAATGAGAGGAATCCAATGGTACCAAAATTATTTAATTGGGATCACTGGATAAAAAGATATAGGCAAAAAACTGTTAATTATATAGTAATTTCATATAAAATAATATAGCCAATAGTTTTTGTCAATAACTTTGATCCAGTGATCCAAATTGAATAATTTTAGTACCATTGGATTTCTCTCACAGAGACAAATCCAATGGTACCAAATTCATCCAATTTGGACCACTAAGTCACGAGATATTAATATTTTTATAAAAAAATTAGGTTATTTTTCTTTAACCCCCTCTAACTTAGCAAAAAAACATAAAAAAATGTTATTTTTGTGAAACCCCTCCCTCTCTTGTATAACATTATTTATGGATACCTCCTAATGGATATCATGAAGATGATTATGAGCAGTGCCAGATAGGTCTCAAATCATTATTACAAACCTTAAGAAGAGAATATATTGAACAGATTTGGTATGACAAGTATAAAACTTTATATCTTCAAATATTTCTTTTGATAATCTGTGAAAGCATGATGCTGTTAGATCAATGATGGGGTTTATTTCATGGTTGTGTTTGTCTTCAAGTGACATACAAGTTATCTCAGTAGTGCCCTTATAATTGTTAAAATTTATATGCTACTTGCAATCTATTGCAGTAGAATAGTGTTTACGCTGCTTAGGCCAGACCAATTTAATTCTTTGTTTAACATAATCCTCCCCTATTTTTTAAAATTTATATGAACCCAATACTCATTAATAGTAATTAATAGTATTTACCCACCCTCAATTTTTTAAATTTTATATAACTAACACATGTTAAATCAACCAATAAAATTGCTGTTTTTTTTAATTTGTGTATTTTTCACGCCCTCTCCCCTACTCTTATGAACTATTTAATATTATGTTAAATAAAGAATCAATTTGGAGTAGCCTTAGTAATATCAACTTTTTTTAGGCTAATGTACACATGATTTGGAACACTCATAACTATGATAGCGAATACCTGAATTGTCTGAGTAAAGGTTGGTTCTACTTCGCCAAAAAGAAAAGCCTTTGAACTTTCCATATGATTCTAAAAATTTATCCACCTTCTTCTATGTATTGAATGTAAAACCAACACGTAATTGCAATTGTGATTTTTCATCATCTTGAGAACTACTAGAGATTAATTCATTGTTACAAAACATGTGAATAAAATATGCAACCAGAAAATATTACTTATTTTGTTTTATTTACTTCCTTATTTTCTAAGCTAAAGAATTGAGATTTATCATCCACTAATGTCAAATCAACTGTATTATTTTCTGGGCTAATATTTAATAAACCAATGTGATATTATTATCTATTAATAAAAAAAGAATCAGAAATTAATCCAACACAACACCGCCAAATTTATTATCAATCTCTGAAAACTTCGTATTGTAGAATTAAAAAATATTGTCATACAGTACAAATCAGCAGCTTCATTTTCTAAGCTAAAAAGATAAAAGTAGTCAACATTAATAGGCATCATTGATTGACAAACAAACTTATTGGTTACTAACTTTCTATCCTGTACAAAACTTGAAATAGTCTCAGGTTCTATGATAGGGCTATATAGTATCTATTAATTATCAATTAGAAATTAACATAACAGCTGCTAAATTTATTACCAACCTTTGTACATAATTAAAAGGCATTGTTGTGTAGTATAAATCAACAGCTTCATTTTCAATTTAAAAAAGTGGAAATAATTAATTAGAAGTTAAATTAACATGAAAGTTATCACAAAATATATTACCAACCTTTGTATTGTAGAGTTAAAAGTTGTTATCGTGTTGTACAAGTTAACAGCTAATTTTCTAGACTAAAAACATGAGGGTAATCACTATTAGTAAATACTAACTTTTAATATGTGATATATAATTACTAATATTCTAGGGCTTTGATTCTGTACGAAACTTGAATGGGCCTCAGATTCTATGATAGAGCTACACAGTATTATTAATTAATAAAAAGCAGTTAAGCAATCAGTTAAAAATTAACTTGACAGCAACCAAACTTATTATTAACCTCTAAGAACTTTGTATTATAGAGTTAAACAGCATCATTGGATAGTAAATCGGTTCAAAGATATGATTTTTCATTAGATTCATTATATTTATTCACTTGCATTTTACAATCCCAAGAGAGTGAAAAAAATTTGATTATTGTTCAATCATGTTTTTTATTTATTTATTTACTGATCGGGCAAACAATATACGTATGTATACATATACCTGTATCTAAAATAATAATTTTTCTGCAATCAGAGTATACTTTTTATTGTATAATAGTATAACTTGAATATTAATAGATAATTATCACCTGAGGTTAACATTATATTATTTCAAAATAAAAAAAAGAAAATTATATTATAATTAGAGTTTTTTTTAATATCAAGATGAGGTCATGTCTTTGGTTTTTATTAACATATAGCTTTAATTACAATTACAATTATATATACATTAACTTATGAACTACAGAGATTTAGACTAATTTATCTATAATCTAAACCTACTAGAGTGGTTCATGCCCCACATATATATTACTCAGATTTGTACTTCTTAACTAAATATTTCTAGTAACTACATATTCTTTCCATATCTTACCATTGCCAGTTATAACTTCCAATTTGGTTGTTAAGTATCTACTCCTAATGAGCTTCCAATTTAGTATACCTGCAAACACGATTCACTGTAAATCTCTTTCGAATTCTATTAGTACAATCATAATTGGTACAGATAACCTTTTACAGCTTTGTATTTCAAGCAAAAACTTGCTGCCTAGTTAGGTTCACTACATGACAGAGTTGGTATTATATTGTCAATTATACCAATTGGAAAAAAATTTTTTACTTATCTGATTAGGTACTACTAATCTATATCTTAAGCCAAGTTTTGCTACTATTGCTAGTTTGTCACCCCAGAACTTAATATTCTTTTTTTGATATAGTATTACTAGCTAATCTATTTGTACTTTCTTATTCCTTAAACTATCCCAAGTTAGCAGGTATATTTAGCTGCTAAAATGTTAAAATTGTTATGTTTGATCTATTTTTTT